TGTCCAGCTAAGGACAAGCCATCCATCCATCCATCCATTTACGGTATTTATGAACGTAAATTGGACTGCCTTTTTGACATTTTGATTGCTGTTATTTTGACAAATTAGCGCCATTGTTTTTATACGTGATTAATGTGAATAATACACATCAAATATTTCTCACTTTGAATTATTTTTCACTGTAAGCTTTTTTATTTATTATGTCTGAAATGTATGCAGGACTTCTGAAACATCAGCAGTTGTGCGCGAGCTCTGTAAAGCTGTCTGGAGACGCTCCTGTGCGTAACGTGTACTGTCTGCAGGGCGTGCCGCTGAAGGTGTTGGAAGAAGATGCTTATCCCCGCAGGACATGCAGTCGGCGACTCTGCTGGGCAGGAGTGTTTACGCGTGCTAGAGCTGTCATTTCTAACCCGAGCCCTAAGCCTGGCCCCACCCGACCCGAATTCAGGGCAGTCCTGGTCGGTGTCTGGCTTGAAATTAGGTCAGGATCAGCCACGATCCAATTATATGGTAACATGGCCTGCCATACATTCACCTGCTGCACGCGGCCATTTCACTGCGAGCTGACCGTCCTTGAAAGAGGTAAAATAAAATTCAGTTAAGCTTCAGATGGGACTGTACTGCCAGGCAGTGATCCATCGCCCAAATGGGCGTTCATTCAGCCGCTGCACTCGGCGGACGTGCGCAGCCAATGACCCAAACAGGTGAGATCCCAAAGCAGACATGTCAGAGCAGGGTCTGTGTCTGAATAATGCAGAATGCAGGCAGAAACAGGGTTTAAATGCTCTTTTACGGCCATGAAAGGACAAACACCCTCTCAGCTTCGATCTTCTGTCTACTTTATTCAGCTGCGCGTCCCCCACCGTTAATAACTTGTTAAAAATGTCAGGTTTTATTCTGAGTTCAGACCTGTAATTACTGTTAATTTGTTGAGTCGAGTGGGGTTTGGAAATTATGACAGCTGGGGCCGGGTCGGATCTGATTTTTTTGGGCCCGAATGCAACTCTAGCGCATGCTGGTGCGTGTGCTGTGGCCGGAAAATCCACTCCACAGATTGGGTCCACCAGGCCAAGGGCAATGTTTCCTCTCATTGTATTTTTAATAAATAATCAAAATAAAAATGCACATTGACTTTGGACTTTTAGGGGCGGAGATTTGAGTTGCTGGATTCAAGCAAACAGTTGCCGAATGCACCCAGTCAAACTGAGAGAGTTCCCGGCAGGATCCGGCTCAAATTAAGCATTGGTCTCTACCATATATGTATGTATCCCGGCCACCACAATCATTTGAGGAAACTATACCTTCTAGATTTTATATTGCTTAAAAGTATATTCTCCTTAAATGGCTGAGGTGGCCGAAAATTAATCTATAGTGGCCATGGCCACCATTGGCCACCCTCTTGCTCTACCATTGCACCTGGTTGTGGATAAAATTGCTCGCCCCACTCACTAGTCACTCTGCACTCCCTCAGACAAGAAAAAAACAACTCCCTCTGTTCCTTTCCACACTGTATAACTTCTACCCACTTAAACATCCTGCACCGAAAACATTAAGGTTTACTTTAATTTCCTGTTCAATTTCAGTTCCAAAAAACACTCAACCAACATTAATTATTCAAATCCCTCAATAACAAGGAAAATCTGCATACTGCTTGTTAAAATTTACAGAACAGCCTATTTTAGTCTCTCTCTTGGTTTTATGCATTTATTTGTGAAGAATATTTGTAAGATAGTTGTCAAGAGGAAAAACTACTTTCAGAGGAACACAGTGAGTGCCAGGCCAGAGCCTGAAAAATGCCCAGTTTCCCTGTCTGCAGGGAATACTCACACAAGATGCAGAAAAATAAAAAAATAAATTCAGTGCAGTCATCCACACAGGAGAAGAGTTTTCTCCACAAACTGAGGCTGGCGTATTTGGTTCAGCAGCAGTGTTTGTCTGGGCAGAATTTTTATTTTATTGCTTTCATGCCAACTATTATTAAGATTTTTTTGCACACACTTTTAATAGCAAAGAACACGTTCGCTTTTAGAACAAATGCATGGAAAACTTTCATAAAAAGTGTGGCTCTTATGCGTCACAATTATGTCTCACAAAGTAGGTGATGAATTTGAGAGCAAACTGCCGACACGAGAGTTTGGACTGAAGGTAAACATAATGCTTGCACTAAATAAACTGAAGTGAACACAAGTAGCCAGGACCAAAACACAAACAGCTAGAGCTAAGTCCATCTAAATCTCAAAAGTATCACAGTGGGTCATATGAAAATTAATTAAAAAACTTTTACACCATCATCAGTTTTATATGAAGCTGTTATTCTGGAAGACATATGTTTCTGATGGAAGTGCCCCAGGCTGGGCTTTAAGCTAGCTGCCGCTGCTGTTTGTGCTTTTAAAAAAATCATAGAAATCTCATATAATGCAAATTAGTGTTAATGTAAAATGGTTTACAATTTGGTGGTACGATAGCGCAGATGTCGCCTTTCAGTGAGAAGGTTGCCAGGTTGAATCCCGGCCTGGGGCCTTTCTGGGTAGAGTTTGCATGTTCTCTGTGCATGTGTGGGCCTCCTTTGGGTACTTCAGTTTCCTCCCACAGACCAGAAACATGCATGTAGGCTGATCGGTAACTCTAAAGCGTGGCTATTCAACTGATGGTCTGTGGGCCATTACTGGCCCGCGGGTGACTTCGATCCGGCCCACCAATGACTTCATTAAAAAAATATATATTACCGGTATTGTTTTTTGGTTCTGGGTTTGGATTTAGGGTTCTGTTTATTTCATCCAATGCAATCAAATAAATGTATTTAAAAGGTAACTGATTATTGTAAAACTTGGTTTATTTACATAACGACTTTAATTGCTCGATATCTGGTCCCTGAGTTCATGACTTTCAGAAACTGTGGCTCCTGAGCAATTTTGTTGGATAGCCCTGCTCTAAAGTGTCCCTAGTTGTGAATGTTTTTTTTTTTATCTTGTTTGTCTCTACATATCGCTGGACTTGCCACCTGTTCAGGGTGCCCCCTGTCCCTCACACAGTGACTTATGGATATGCACCCTAGCGACCCGGAAAGTGGGTAAAAAATAATAGATGGATGGTATAAAATTTTTAACACTGTCTGGAGTCGTTTTAGGACAATAGTAATCCACTTTGGTCTTGGCCACGTACTGACTAGTCTTTAGCTTGTCAGTCTGGTTAGGATAAAATTGTATTCTTTTAAATTGAGGTTTCTAAAATGCTATTTACATCAGGTACAATATTGGTGCATACAGGATGGTGTTGTACACAGGATGGAGCAATGCCAAGCAATGCCATGTCATATCATATCATGCTATGCTATGCTATGCTATGCAGAGCTAAGCACCTTCTGGTGACATCACCACCATCACAGTGCCCCCCCCCCCCCCCCTTATATCTACTGCAAACAGTCTAACTCGTGGTGTCAGTTTACAGCCAATAACAGACTTTAACATAAATGAAGTCAAACTAAACATGAAAGGAAAATAACATGAAAATCCCATTTTCACATTCAGAAACATTGCGCACATAATTCCTACTCAGCATGCTTTGCAACACTCACACTGTCTCTGGGACGTGACTCTCTCACACATTTCACACATCTTTACTTTAGTACAAACAGATTTATTGCTGAGAGAATACTGATGATGACACACTGCAACTTTGTAGTTAGTTTATAAGAAGTAACCAAAAAGAGGATCGCTAAAGTGAATTAATTCGTTTTAGTAAATGACACGAGGGAGACGTCCGACACACGTTGAATGCGTCATGCTGCTTCAGCACATCAGAGTTCTGCTCTGCCTCTTTGGCTCCGATGGACCGGATTACGTAATTTCTGAAAGCTCACCTCTGAACAGGACATGGACGCTTTACTTGTGATTTATGAACCGTTTTGTGTTCACCTACAACGTTGTCACATTACAGTCTTAGTGTCAGCGACAGCAGTGTATGATAAAAGCTAGCGCTTTAGCGTTAGCTAATTGGTTAGCTGTGCCCACCACTGAAAACTGATGGTTTTATTTTTATATTTTTAATTTTTTACCTCTATCCAAACTGGAAAAGCTCTGTTTTTAGTGTCTCTGTGTGGATTGTTGAAATTAAGCTTTTCAGAAATAATGGTATTATGTTGTGTCTGAGAAACTCAAATGACTTCATTAAAATAAAGACTTTTGGAGATTCTTTAGGCAAGCCTTGTTCTTTCTCTGTATTTTGATGTCGTTAATGGGAACATTCTCCCCACCTAGTGGCACAGCATGTGTTTTCAGTGGGTTTTTTTAATCTGTAGAAAAACAGATGGAAACTGGAAAACAAAAAAATGTAGTAGTGTAGATGGGGACATAACTTTTTCACTGACGGTTTAATCTTCAGAATAATTTATTTTAATAAATACTAAAACAGGGCAGCACGGTGGCGCAACTGGTAGAGCTGCTGCCTCTCAGCGAGCAGGTCCTTGGTTCAAACCCCGGTCCAGGGGCCTTCTGGGTGGAGTTTGCATGTTCTCTCCGTGCATGCGTGGTTTTTCTCCGGGTGCTCCGGTTTCCTCCCACAGACCAAAAACATGCATGTTAGGCTGATTGGTAACTCTAAATTGTCCCTAGGTGTGAGTGAGAAAGTGAATGGTTGTTTGTCTCGTTTGTCTCTATGTGTCCCCGTGAAGGACTTGCGATCTGTCCAGGGTGTACCCCGCCCCTCGCACAGTGATTGCTGGACATGGGCACCGGCGACCCCCGTGACTCAAAATGTAATAAGCGGGTAAAGATAATGGATGGATGGATGGATGGATACTAAAACAGAGAAAAATAGCCGAACCTCATGTGTGAGTTTGCTTACTGTGGCAACCCTGCTGAAGAGATAAACCGAAAGAGAAAAAAGTATTAAACTCCTGCATTATCCATTACCTGGTTATTCTAATGTACATTCATGTGTATTTTTACTGACAGTTACTGACTGTGTGTGTTAAAGAAAGTTGTGCTATCCTTGTTTGTTAGGTGGGCTGGCAGCTGAAGAACCTGGTGAACCTGTTGCGTGGGGACCCTGCAGGTGTCACCTTAACGTTGAAGAAACGCCCACAGAGCACACTCACATCAACCCCTGCTCTGCTCAAAAACATGAGATGGAAACCATTAGCTCTGCAGGTGAGACGACTGCTTTCACTCTCTTTGTGACTATTTCTGTTTGTGTGGATTTATTTCTGTGCTGCTGTCTTCATACTGCAAATAGGACTGGATAAACTCCAACTTTAAACAAGAATACGCTGCATTCTCCAAAAATGAACAAAATAGAGGGAAAATTTTGGTGTGAGAACCATAAGCAAACATTTTAAAGCTAAAATTCACAATGTTAGAAAAATGTTTATTTATGGCTTTAAAAGCACCAGTAACGGTTGTAATATGCAAATATTAATCATAACATGCCTGACTATTTTTACCAATCACCAGATTTGAATAATACAGATCACAGAAGCTAAATTTATCCTTGTGACTAAATGGTTGAAGGTTCCAGCATGACTCATTCAGATGTTAACATTTCATCTCTAAGTGGCATCTGTTGTCCTACTTCAGCCAAACCAGCTCCATTATTAGGACAGTGTGCCAGTACCAGAATGAGCGGGAAAGAGAGGGACAAGCAATAAAGCAGCCCAAGCTTTCTTTGAGACCCATTCCAGAGAAAATGTTTTCTCCCCCCTGAGGCCCTGAAGCACAGTCATGCTCACCTCCTTTCCCCTCACGTCCTCATTCTTGTCTCCTCCACCGAAACTAAATTTACTCCTCAGCTGGCAGTTTCAGGGACACATTTTAAAATAAAAAGAAACTAGAAACTTTTCAGATTTTATGATTAAATTAAGGACGTTGATAGAATTTTTTTTTGTCTAAACCTTCCAGTAATTTTAAATATATATAGTAAAATAAACTGCAGTGTGCATAAATGGCAGGTTCTGTTGCAAATAACCTTGAGTGCTTCATATGAAAGGAATAGTTCAGACCTTTTGAAGTGGGATTTTTGAAAACGATTAGGAATAACTGGTATCTGTTGTAAATAGCTTTTTGAGTGAACTCAGTTTGGAGGATAAGTTTATTTATGAGCAGAATCAACCAGCTCACAGTTAATTCCAGAATAAAGTGGATCGTTGCTGTTTGAAAACACTTCAAATCTCAAGATTTAATGGCAGTTAATGGTAATGCTATTTTTGTCGCCCATCACTGAACAAAGAGGATTTGGAAATATCCTTCATCCATCAGTCTATTCCTCCTGTGAGCTGGAGAACTTGAAAAATTAGTTAGGTACCAACTTCCATTTGGTGTGTGGCTGCATGTAGACGTAAGAAAGGTCCCTATTACAAATTGGGTTGTCACGTCAAAATCCAAGATGGCCACCCTGTATGTGTGTATATATATATATATATATATATATATATATATATATATATATATATATATATATACACACACAGTATATAAACCAGCTACCCCAATCATTTGAGGACTTTATTCTTTCTAGTTTTTATATTATTTAAAAGAACATGTAGCTCAAATAGTTGGGGTGGCCGGTGATGTAGCCGAAGTTTATTCTATGGTGGCCTTGGCCATCATTGGCCACCCTCTGGTTCAGCCATTATCCCTGATGATGGGTAAAATTACTGGGTACTCCCTCCACTCACCAGGATTCATCAGTTTGCATTCTCTCGGACCTCTGTTCTTCTCCTCGGTGTAACTCCTACTCATTTGAATATCATGCACCAAAACATTAAGGTTTACTGTTCAGTCCAGAAAAATTGTCATCTTGAAAATTACAAACATTCACTATTCAAATCCCTCAGCGACGGGACATAGGCGCATCGCTTGTACTGTTTTACTTCACTGCCGTTCCATTATGATGTTTCTGCCGGGTGTTGCAGCTGACCCTAATTTTGCTTGCAAATAAGCAACACATTTTACGAGAATAATTGTAGAATGTGGAATTTACAGCATTGTAACAGTTTACAAACTAGTATTTGTTTAAACTGCCATGATTTTTTTGTGACTGGAGTTGTTTTAAAATTGCAGCAATACACCTTGATCCTGGCCCTACTCAGATTGCCAAGCCATTTTAGTCCTTGCAAAACACTAATCCTAACACTGTTTTGATATTCTGAAAATGTCAGGGTGATTGTAGGCCCATCAAAGTGGTAAAATTACTGTTCAAAGTTAATTAAAATGATAAATGTGCAAATACGTATAATGCTTGTGAGGCTGGTGACTGGACCAGTTTGAACTACCTTACAAACATTTCTCATTTCACAGGTGAGACACCAGCTTCACTGTCTGATCAAAACAAACGTTCCACCGCTGTGACGTCCAAGTTTTCTTTGTGTCATTCCCTGTAACTGTTTCTCTCCTCCTTTCTTTCTGTCCGTCTGTCTCTCTGTGTGTTTTTCGCACATTTAAACACACTTACACACAGCCCGTTTTCCCTCAGAGCCCCAGCAGCAGCGTCGCTACGCCCACCAGCACTTTAAGCACGCCGTCCAGGAGGAGTAGCTGCGCCCTACAGGATCTCTACATCCCGCCTCCTCCAGCAGAGCCCTACACCCCCAGGTGAACACAAGTACATCTGAAACACTTAGAGGGTCCCAAGCAGTGCTGGCTTTACCAAATAATTTGCTCTGGAGTTGAACACCGCCGTGCAGATTCCTTTTTTTATCTGTTTTCTGAAAGAATGGAGACATTAGCAGCTCAGTCCTCGCCTCATTTTGCAGATTTGTGTTGTTCTCAAAAGAAGCAAAGCACTGATTCAGAATGAATTAAGAACTGAGAAACTATATTTGCAAACAGATATAGATGTCGCCTATACTCAGACTTTTTCAAAGTAGATTTTTCTGTTTTATCTGAATTTTTAAAAAAATCATTCATCCAGTGCATGAGGTTAACAGCAGCAGATTGTTAGAAGCAAATGAGAAAATGTTCATAGCACATTTGATATTTTGCATCAGTTTTATACTTATCAATCAGTATCAGAATAAGCTTTATTATCATGCACCGAGATACAACGAGAATATGTACGTGCAGTCGTCCGAAAGACGGACGCAGTGCATGAAGCTGCTGCTATATAGCGCGGCCTTCTTATTCTTTTCAAAATATATTTTTTTAGATAGAAAAAGGGACAAAGCCTTGAGGAGAGGGGTAGTGGCATTACAAAAAAGATCTCTTCACACCTTGTCCTAACATGACACGATTTAAGACATCAAAAAAAACTCTGCCAGCCAAGCACATTTATGAACACGTTACATATGCATTTATGACGAGGCGGTCCATGAAGCACTAAACAGATAGTCCATTGTCCTGATAAGATGATGGTCAGCCGGCACAGTTCTACACAGTACACATTTCCCAGGAGAAATTGATAAGTCTGCCTTTTTGAGGCCAGACGGGAAGAGATTCAGATAACCACAATTGTTGATTTATTCAGGCAGACTATTTTTCTTGTCAGCCTTGAGTCTGTACTGATACTTTCCAAGGTCCAGATTAGGGTGCATTCTAGTGGTCTGTGCTTACGAGCCTCTCCAAGATGGTTTTCATGCTGACGAGTCCCAAAGCCGCAGGTGGCCTGAGTCCTCAAAGCACGAACCAGACCTTCACATAGACAGCAGCCTGACGAGGTCCAAATTAGCTGTGGCCGTCTTCTTTGTATGTTAATAAACCAGGATCTAGACTATTCCAAAAACAGAAAACCTGTTATCATAACTCCATAGATAGAATGACAGATTGTGTCGAAGGCAGAACTTAGATCAAGTAGAATTATGTCGAAAGTGCAGTTGGTCAGATCCAAAACAGTAGTTTTCATTTTGCAAGATGCGTAAAAATAGGAGCTGCAACGATACACAGACAGAGAACAAAAAAGCAGGAGGAGAACAGGGAGCGGGGAGAAACACGTGCGCCTCATTAGAGAGCTAGTGAGAAAAAAAAAAAATTAAATCAATCAAACATTTTTAGAGAAATTTCCATGCAGCTGAGAGTAACACAAACGGATTTACAGATTAAAAACTGAAAAAAGACAGAAAAACAAAACGTTCTTTCACTACTAAATCTCTAAGCAAAGTCTAATAAAATATGGATTGTAAAACAATTGAACATTAATGAATATTATATGATAATTATCAATAAATGGAACAAAGAACTGAGGAGATTAAGTTGTAACTGTAATGAAGAAATGTCATGTAAAACAATACAAAAACTGCAACATAATTAAAATGTAAAACATCAGTTTAATTTACAGATAAACAGGTATAGAAGTACAAAACACTGAAAATAAATAAGACAAATATTGAGAAAAACATAAAAGTGACCAAGATTCAAAAATAGATTCTTGAAATATGGCCTATTATCTCATTGATTTAAAAGCCAGGTTTGAAAAGTTGCGTTTTTCAAAAGATCTGAAGTCCCTCATTTATCACGGGGTTTATGGGACCACGCCCCCCACGATAAGTGAAGAACCGTGAAATACAGTGGTCCAAGTTCAAGTTTCACTCCCAGTCTCCCTCCTTCTGTGTAAATAAACAATTTAAATTTAAATATTGCAATATTTTAAATAAACAATCCATACAATATGGATTATTTATTTAAAATATTACAGTATTTAAATTTAAATTGTAGAGAAGAGAAGCGCAGCAGGACAGCAAAGGATTAACCCTTCATGCAGCAGCAGCATGGATCAGAAATGTACTTCTTGATCAATTACACTGTAACAACTGAACTTGGAAGTTCTAAAATAATAAAAAAAAAAAAAACTTTTAACACCTTTATATTTTGTGATTATGATGATTTTACGATGTGACATACTTTGAATTTTAACCTGGATGGCAAAGGTCGATCGGTGCATCTGGACAGCAAAGGGTTAACCCTTCACAAAGCTGCTGCAGCAAAGAGCAGAAATGTGTGGGTGGCAGAGGGAAGATCATGACAGGCTGCAGAGGGAGCTTCCCACTGCACTTGTGGGCTGCACAAACGTGCTAAATAATTTAAAACAATTTATTTTAAATAAACAATCCATGGCTCATCCATCAGTCAGCCAAATATGTCATACCCACTCTTACTTTGAAAAACTGCAAAAGAGCGAATCCGCAAAAGTCGAGCCGCGAAGTAGCGAGGGACAGTTGTAGTCTATTTTGTATTTTGTGCTACTTTAGAAATATTTGCGATAAATCATGAATTTAACACATTCAAACAGTGTTAAAATAAATTTTATAGTTTGGCATATACAGGTTGTGTTAGGTAGAAGCAATAAAACCGAAACGGAAATGTTTAGTGATGCTCTTTTTAAATATTTGCAAATTACTTCAAGTTTCCCTGTGTCCCTATTATAAACTATTATAAATACATTCACCTTTTTCTTTGTTTCGAGCTCCTCTTGTTTTTGTTTTACGTGCATTTGTCTTCTCATTTTGATCAGAGACGATAAGGAGGATCTGCAGGATGAGGATCATCAGATGGACGTCCAAGCCGCGGAGGGATCTGAGTCACCGAACTCCTACCTGGACCAGGAATGTCGGCGGCGGTTTCCCCTGGTGGAGGAGGATTCTATACTCTACTGCTACGAGTACGACCAGAACCAGGAGGCGTCGTCAGTCCGCAGGGGGAGCACTCCCACATATGGTAGGACCTCTATCTTATTGTGAAATATCAATTCGAAGGCGTGCAAACGGGGTCTGTGTGCATTTTTTTTGGGTGTCTCCAGCTGTTTGATGTGTGCGTGGAGCACCACATGTGTAATATTAAAGTCCCTTGTGCCTCGTTTCTCCAGGCAGGCTCAGGCCCGTCTCGATGCCGGTGGAGTACAACTGGGTGGGAGACAGCGAGGACCTGACGAAGCTGACGAGGGAGAGCAGGAGAGGTAAGTGGGAGGCAGAGAAGGACACAGGAAGCTGGGGTGAGGGGGCGGATAGCTCATAATACCCTCACCCTCTCAGATCTCCGAGCCAAGAAGAAGAAGCATGAGCTGGCCTGTCAGAACAGATAACATGCTGGATATCAGCTCCTGCCTCTTTCTCCTCCATATGTTCACAATCTTATCGCTTTCCCCTTTCCTCCTTCATCCCTCTCTCAGCTCAGCTGTTCTCCATTTTGGATCATAAAAAGTTCACTGTTGCTCTGGCAACTGTATGAAATATTTTCTCAGTGTTCACATTATACTGAAGAGCGTTTAAGCTGGGTATAAATCGCAGTGCTTTATATCAGACTGAAGAGAGACGAGTGAGTTTGTGTCCTCAGGAGGAAGGTGGTTGCTCCTTTTGACTTTTCTTTTAAAGAAGAGCGCGAGATGAAGCTATATTTATCAAGAGGCAAGAGTGCAAAGATGCTGAGAGTTTCTTGCTTGGTAACAACTCACACGGTAGATTTTTAAGTTCTTCAAGTATTGATCATTTAAAACAGCAGCTCTTTATCAATTCAATTCAGTTGATTTAAATATCAGGAAGTTTGATCAGAGTTGAGCAGTTTTTGTTTTATCGTTTATAGTTTCAAACGATTTTTACAGCCATACTACTTCCCCATACTTTGTGCTTTTTCATTCATTTATCAACCTGTTTAATTTGATTGAAAATAGTGCGATACAACTTTAGTATTTGTAACTTTTATACATTTTGAATTATTTAACCTTATTTACAAAGATATTCCCCATAGAAATACACTGAGACCTTTCCCAAACCTTCAAAATCATCGTTCTCTGAAATCTACGTCACTAAATTCATGCTAGTTTTCTCATTTTTTGTTCCTTGTAGCTATTAGCTACAGTGTTACTCATTTTAGCTATTGGTTAAGGTTTGTTAGATTTTAGCTCTTTTGTCCAGTTTGTTTATTTTAGCAACTGTTTTGTTCATTTTAGATTTTAGCAACAATTTCTTATAGTTTTAGCTTTTAGCTGGAGTTTTGCTTATTTTAGGTTTAGCTACATTTTAACAGTTAAACTTTTAGCTTCTGTTTTGTTTATTGTAGCTTTTAGCTACTGTCATAAATTTGAACTTTTAGTTGGGATTTTGCTTTTGGTACAATTTGGTTCATTCTAGCTTTTAGCTGCAGTTTTATTATTTTAGCAATAATTTTTGCTAAATAGCTTTTAGGAACAGTTCTTCAAATTTTAGCTTTTAGCTACCATATTTTTCAGACTATAAGGCACACTTAAAATCCTTTATTTTTCTCAAAAATCGACAGTGAGCCTTATAATCCGGTGCGCCTTGTAGTCCAAAAAATATGATACTGTGTTTTTGTTTTTGATTATAGCGACTGTTTTGCAAATGTTAGCTTTTACCTACAGTTAACCTAATTTTAGCGTTCAACTACAGTTTTACCTCTTAATGGCCTCTACCAACAGTTTAACTAGTTTTATATTTTAGCTAAAGCTTTGCAACTTTATATTTTCATTACAGTTTTGCTTGTTTATAGCTTTTAGCTAATGTTTGGTAAAACTTTAACTTTCAGACATGTTTTATTAATTTTTATTTTAGCCACTGTGGTTTTGTAGTTTTCATGTACTGTTAAGCAAATTTTTGCCTTTAGCTAAGGATTAGCTAGTTTAAGCTTTTGGAAACAATTTTATTAATTTAAATTTTTAGTTACAAGTTTTCATTTTAAATTTTAGCTACTGTTTTGCGTATCTTAGCCTCTAGCTAAAGTTTTTTGCTCATTTTAGCCTTTAGCTAAGGTTTTGCCAATTTAAGCTTTTAGTAACTGTATTGTTCATTTTAGCTTTAAGTAATTTAAGTATCATTTTAGTTTTTAGCAATAGATTCCCCAATTTTAGCTTTAAGCTACTATTGAATTTAGCTTTTGCATTGCTTGTTTTATCTTGAATTTTTCAGCAGTCTAATCTCTCAGCATTCAATCTGCGTTTTGAAGGAAATGTAGTTTCTCCCCTTGTGAAATGTTTCTTTAAAAGCCTCAGTTGCCTGCTGTCTGTCTGTCTTCAGACTGTCCCCTGCAGCGCGTGAATTGATGGATCACACAGTTGCTGCAATCAGTTGGTGTTTAAGTAGCTTTTTATGTTTTATGCCTTTCTAACATAAAAAAAAAAAAAAAAAAGTTTTTTGGACTTTATTTCAATGATAAGACAGCAGAATTTCAACCAGGCAAAATACAGTTTAAGAAGAATAAAACATTACAGTATCCTGATGCATGCTCAACATTACAGCATTAAAACAATATAAGACTGAATTAAAAACACGTCAAAATGACATCATCAAAATGGTTCTAGTCAGAAATCAGATTTAAATATGTAGGTAGGGAATTCTACGTGTTGTCTCCTCGTGCAGAAAAGGCTGTTAGACTCACGGAAGTTTTCCGAAAAGGAACCCTAGTTCCTTTCTGCTCCACGAGTTACTGAGCCCGTGGATCTGAGAGGAACTGAAAGGTCTCTGAAGATCCAAGGAGCCAGTCCAGTTAACTTTTAAAATAAATGTAGGATTAGAGAATTTGACAAAGTTTTCGAAATTCATCGTGTTACGTTTCTTAAGAACATAACAGTGATGTGATTTGATGGGTTTTCTGTCCCAGATCTTAACTGTTTTATTATAAATCATTCTTAGAGGCTTGATGGTTGGAGCTGCTGCTTGAGACCAAGAAGTTACACAGTAACTTAAATCAGAGAAAATCACCGAGTGCATAAAACTGTTTGCTTTATTAAATGGTAAACGGTCTGTAATTAATTTAAACATATGCACATTTACTTATGCTACTCTGCTCACCAGAGCTTACTGGCTTACATTCAAGTTTTACGTGATAATTTAGAACAAAAACTAAGATATTTTACTTCTGAAACATGTTCAATATGTTGACCATTGATCTTCATGTTTAATCTAAATCAGTGCCATTTTTCCAAGACCAAGCCCTTGAGGAAAAGCAAACTGACAGGGTTTTTTGTAACAGTCAAGGTAAGACAGGACTTGTCAAACCATGCTGCAATGGCCTCTGAAGAACATGACAGCTGTGCTGACACCGATGTGATGTTTTTAATCAGCCACATACACAACTGCATCATCAGCGTACAACTGAACATCTGCACCAGGACATGAATCAGGCAAAGCATTTATGTAGAGACTAAAATGAAGAGGACTTCGAAATGAGCCTTACTCACCAGCAATGAAATGCTCACAAGTGGCAGGATATGATTTAAACCACTGTAAACTTATCTTGGAGAATTTAAGATTTGATAGTTTGTGAATGAAAATATGATTAGGTGTGCCGAATGCCTTTTTAATGTCTAAAAATACTGCTCCAATTATTTTACCCTGATCAAATGATGGTTTGACCTGTTCAGTAAAGTTACAAGTAGCAGTCTCTGTGGAGTGACGTGGACGAAAACCAAACTGTGCTTCATTAATTGGTGAGCCTCCACCTTCTCCAAAACTTTAGCGAACACAGGCAAGATGCTTATGTGCCAGATCCGGTGCCCCAGATTTTAAAATGGGCACAACTCTAGCTACTTTCCATTTGCTGGGAAAATTTTCACTGGTAAGGGACAGATTAATGAGATGAGTAAGTGGCACTGTAAAAAAAAAAAAATATATATATATATATATATATATATAATAATCAATGATAAAAATAACCTCTATCTGGTTAGTTTGATGCAAGGAAAAAGGTGTACTGTGAGGAATTGCAGATGTACTTGGTTTAACAGAAGGGATTGAAAAGTTCAACAGAGGAAACAAAAAAAAAACATTTAATTTATTAGCAATCTGATTTTGAACAGTGACTCATTGATTCCTAACATTTAATTTGTAAAGTATTTCCTGAGTAACTAGTGGTCTTATACTATTTATTTGCTTACAAATAGCAGAGCAGTGTCTTTTAGCATCTCTAATTAGGCGGCTGTGGCTGAGTGGTTAGAGCAGTCGTCCTCCAATGTGAGAGTTGGGGGTTCGATTCCACCAGCAGTCACATGCTGAAGTGTTCCTGGGCAAGACACTGAACCCCTCATTCCCTCCAATGTGTGCCCCATCTGTGTATGAATGTGATAAAGCTCTGATTATTCTGTGTACAGATCTAGTAAAGCGCTGTATGAATGGGTAAATGAAGACACAGATTGTAAAGCTTTGAGTGTCTTGATAAGACAGAAAGGTGCTCTATAAGTACATCCCTTTTACAGTCCATCTAATTGCAGATATACAGAATATTCAAAAATCTATGTACTTGTGTATTTATTTATTTATTACAATATTGTTCTGCCCTCTGTGCCCTGAACTAAAGCTGCTACATGTGCGATGTGTCAAGTAAAAGAAAAATCAATTAGTGATAAAGCGGCACCAGAGATATCTAGGCTATTTGGATTTTTATGAAAAAGCTGATTTAGATTTTTTTTTTAACTGTTCAAGGTTTTCTCTAAGAACTATAATACCTGCGTATAAAATAATCGTAGCACTCATGAACTGTGGATTTGTGGACTGAAAAAAAAAAAGTGTCAGATTGACCATGATCTGATCAAGTTGAGAAATGTCCAAATGTGTTCATGAGCTAATTAATTAGTGGTTGACGTGTAAGATTTGTGGTGCAGCAATCTGCCCAAAATGCTAAAGGATGCCACGCTTTTCTTCTCCGAGCCTCAGGAAAACACGGAGGCAGTCTTTGGACAGAAGCTGTGGCTCAAACAGCTTAAAATCTCTGAGGGTTGTAAACCTACGCTGCAGCTCACTTTTCTCCTTCTTCTCCTTGACGGTATGATTCCAGGGCTTTTCTTAGACCATCTGACAGACATGCAGCATTTTTAGCTGCATATGGGAAAGCTTTTTTTTCTGGATATATTTTTGGTCTCCCAGCAACCATCTCCAAACTTGGGCACAGTTTGTTGCCTACATGTGTGCCCTTCTCCCCTGCTCTGGGCTGCAAACCCACAGCCTGCACAGCGCGTACTGCTTTCTATGTGTGGGGGACATAAGGCTTCATTTCTTCAAAATCATATTAACTTTGCAGAATAAATAATTTGACACCATGAGGTGTTTTTGTCTGTAACACAGGAGAAGAAAACCTTGGTGGAAACCTGCCTGCAGTTGTCAGTTTAAAAAACACATTGGTCCAAACCTTTAGACCTGTGTTCACAAAATTATTGTTTTGGGTTTTGTTCGTTATATTTGGTCCGAATTATAAATTCAAGCACTCAAATTTGTACAAGAAAGCCACTAATAACTCATGAACCAACATCGGCAATGCTTCTGGCTTCGACAAATAAATAAATTAAATTAATCTGATGACTTCAGTCAACATATTTTTGCGTTTTCACTTGAACAAACACCATTAACACTCTTTTTGTGTACACCCCCCTCCCCACACACACACACACACAATAATGCGATTTTTCTAAATGACTGCTAAAAAAAAAAGCTAAAGAAACAGGAACTGAGTTGTTAAAGCTAAAAATAAAACACTAGCTAAAAGGCTAAAATAGAAAATGTTCTCTACAAGCTAAAAAAAAAAAAAAGAAAGCAAAACATTAGTTAAAAGTCAAAAGTAAGAAATGCTGGATAAAAGCTAAAAGGAATGAAACGCTAGCTATATATATAGAAAAAATAGGTAAAAGCTAAATATAGCTAAAGGCTAGCTAATAGTAGCAAAATGGCAGCTAGATTTTAATAGTAGTAAAAAGAGAGCTAAAAGCAGATAAAGTTAAAAGTATCAGAAGTTTAGGTAAAAGTAACAATGTTCAAGGTTCTTTATTGTCATTCGCATCACATGTGGTACATGAGGTGGAACGAAATGGTGTGCTCATGGTCCCAGTTACACCCAAAATAGCAAAAGTGTTAAAAAAAAGAAACATTATACAAGGATCTAAACAGTAAACAATAATAATGTAAAATACAATCCGGTGTATTAAACAGCAGCCTGAACGTGAGTCTGTTGTGAACAGATGGTATGAATACAGCAGCTTAAGTTAAGAAATCAACAAAAGGCTAATCAAATGCTAAACATTTTAAAAGGCCAACCAAAAGCTAAAATTAGCATAAGAATAAAAATAAATAAATATAAATCCAGCATGCTGAAACAGCTTTTAAAAAGAAAAATGTTTTTGAAGGAATGAAAGAGATCTCAATATATTCAAGGGATTAGATTTCTGTAAATATAGGTAAATATTTTGAAGTGCAAAACCGTTACAAAAAGTTACAATTAAAGGTTATAAGATACAAGTCCTGGCTCCCATCTCCTAAATGAGCTTAATGCTTTAATATTTGAATGGCATAAATAAATGTACTTTGCAAATAACATGCAATAAAGTAAAAAAAAACAAATCCTGTTTTTTAAAATTCAATCAGCATTCACATAATAAACTTGAATAAACGTAATTTGTTTCAAATCACAATTTAAAGAGTAATCAGTGTAGCGTTTGCTTCTTCTGTCTCCTGCAGAGAATTCCCTGCTGCGTTTTGTGAGCGAGGACAAACCCCCCGGGGAGAACTTCCTCCTGAGCCGCAGCCTGAGTCAGAACAGGAGGAAGACGGAGCGAGGAAGTAGCCCCAACCACTACACGCTGGTCCCCGCCATCCAGATGGATGTGGCCCTGTCCACATCCAGCTCAGACTCTGCATCCCTGTATCATGTCAGTCCCCTCATTATGTCAGGTGAACCAGACCAGGAAGTTGCTCTAAGATTAATCTTTGATTTTTTTTTCCTCCCTCTCTCTCTTTTAAATTTGCAGGTGTTTGAGCGCTCCTCACTGCTGACACGGTCTAAGAAGAAAAATAAAGGTAGAAGTGTTTAATTTGTCTCCTTTGACACACATGAACGCACATGTGAATTGAAACCAAACACGGGCAGGTGTTTTCTAACCCGCCTCCTTCCTCTGCTCTGCTCCCCTGCTGCGACCTGCAGCTGGAAGTCCGATGGCGTCGATCAGCAAACGGCGGATCTCCTGCAGAGACCTGGGGCAGGGCGACTGTCAGGGCTGGCTGTGGAAGAAGAAAGACGCTAAAACCTATTTTTCGCAGAAGTGGAAGAAGTACTGGTTCATCCTGAAAGACACGTGTCTGTACTGGTACATGAACGAAGAGGTGAAGAGAGAGCTGCCTACTGTATAAGAACAACTCAGACTCATGTATGTTGCTTTAAATAAGATTGTGCCTCTGATTGTCTCAGGATGAGAAAGCGGAGGGCTTTGTCAGCCTCCCCGAATTCAAGATTGACCGTGCCTCTGAATGCAGAAGGAAATAGTGAGTTCGAATTTTCACAGATGCGCCAAGAATTTGATTCATTTTAAGATATTAATTTAAACAACTTAGGAGTCAATAAAGTCAGGAAAAAGTTTGTTTTGCACATTAATGATTCAAAGGTATTCACAACTTTTGAAAATAGTTCCATTTCCTTTATATTGTTATGAGCATCAGATTCTATAGTTTACATCTATAAAATATTTTGTTTGGCAAAGACGGCCCAAACTACTATTGATAAAGGTTTTCCAAAGACTTTAGAAGACTGATATGCTGCAGGTCATGCATTAGTTTTTAACTTAAGACAACCAGGAGAGTTTAGAGCTAAGGAATTGAGTTTAGCTTAGAGCCAGAGTTAGTTACAGAAACTAATGGAAGTCAATTACTTTTCCTAATAAGGATGGAAATCTGAACTTCTGTGTGTTTGTCTGCCTTTAGCAAAATATCTCATAAGTCGAACATCTACTGTATAACTGAGTCCCCTGAGTCAATACAATTCAAGATGGCCGCCACATTTAATCAACCTTAGAAAACACAGAAATGGCTGTAATTCTGTCAGTTTTACTAATGTTGAATTAAAATTAGGTGTGGTTGTAGCCGAGATGACTCAGAACAACAGAAACAGCCGCTGACTGTAAAGTTCTGTTTGTGCTGCTCACCCGTTTCAAGGTGCAGGACAGACCACATGTCCAGAGGTCGTTCATGTGTGTATGTAGCACCTTGTTCACCTGTCCAAGTTCTTACAACGTTTCTCATTCAGAGTGCTTTCCAGTATTTATTTTACACCCCATATAAAATGTTTAAATATCGCTTTCATACACCAATAAGCATGTCAGGTGCAGTAAGGGATTTTAGTGATTTGCCCAAGGGCACACAGTAGGGACTGGGATTGAACTTCCAGCTCTTAGATTGGATGATGACCTCCCTACAACTAAGCCAGAGCTGCCCCTTCACAAGTGTCTCATGAACCAGTGGACAGATTTTAATGAAACTCTCAGAAAGTAATCAGTGGATGTTCATCTACAGCTGATTCACTTTGGAGTTAACCGGATTCAAAATGGCTGCCAACTACTAAATCCAACACAAAACTGCTCATAACTCGGTCAGTTTGACAGACTTTGAGCTAAAACTTAGTGTGGTAGTAGCTGAGGGTCATCCCCAACACAGATCATTTAAAATATTGTTTTAAACTTTGGCATGCAAGACATTGGGTGATATACATTTCTTCCAAGAACGCTAGTTTTGTCCTTTAAATAGTTGTTTTTGTGCTGGTCTGAACAGTTTTTTTAATTCTGTATTCATATGCTAATGCTGCTATAGAATTTTCTCTTATTTTACATATAATTAAACTGCTCTCTTTCAGTGCTTTCAAGGCTTGCCATCCGAAGATAAAGACCTTCTACTTTGCTGCGGAAAATATAGATGACATGTCCCGGTGAGTTTACAAGGCTTTGATATCTGAACTCCACCCACAGTGCCGCAATAAAAGACCAATTGTCCAAAAACTGAATTTCTCTACTTGACTGCCCACTCTCTTTGAAACAGAGTGATGTTGTATGGTTACTGGTGAAAAAGAGAAACACACACATGAACAAGAACATGTTTTTTTTATTCCAGAATGCGTCACGAATGTGTTTCTCCCCCACAGGTGGCTGAGTCGCCTCAGTATGGCAGTTGCGGGCTACTCGGAGCAGGAACAAATGCGCCAGGATCAAGGTGAGATTAGTCACAGAGCCTGTTCGAGCAGCTGCAGAAATCTGTTTTTATTGGTTATGGGTCAGCAGCAGATGATGTGAGGCGGTGAGACGTGCCGCTGCGATGAGAGCGAATCTCTTCTTGGAGTGACAGATGAGGCTCGTCTTTTCTGACACCTCATCGTGGAGCCGTTGCGTTTATCTTTTATGTTGGAGATATCTGGCTTTAAGAACAAAGATTGTGGAAGTCTGTGAGTGTGATGAAAGATTTCTGTCATCAGAAAACGATATCGTCTAAAAAGTTTACAACAGTTGCTGCTGTGTCCGCACGCACGCACGCATTATATAAGTTTAGCTCGTTTTTAACTGAAAACAATGTATTTAATGCCCACTACTTTTTAAGAGTCTTTGTGTAACTCCAATTTCTCAAGTAAATATACTGTATATATGTTTTATCTTGGAGAATATTTTGCTAACATTTTTTCTGTCATGTTTGGTGGAAGGGGTGAACGGAACCCAAATCTTCTTCTTTCGGCTTTTCCCTCTTCAGGGATCTCCACAGCAAGTCCTCCTCCTCCATCTCTGTCCTCTGCATCCTCTGTCCTCACTCCAACTACCTCCATGTCCTCTCTAACTGCATCCATATATCTCCTCTTTGTCTTTTTCCTGGCAGCTGCATTTCTAACATCCTTCTACCAGTATACCCACTGTCCCTCCTCTGGACATGTCCAAACTATCTCATTCTGGTCTCTCTAACTTTATCTCCCAGTTGTTCCACCTGTGCTGTACCTCTGATGATCTCATTCCTAATCTTATCCATCCTTGTCACTCCTAAGGAGAACCTCAACATCTTCATTTCCAGTTCTTTCTCCTTCTTTTTGTCCATGTCTCTGTCTCCAGACCACACAGCATAGCTGGTCTCACCACTGTCTTGTAAACTTTTCCTTGGGCGAATGGAACCCAAATGCGAAACCAAAACTCAGAACTTGCAGGTAAAATTATAATAATTTATTATAAAAAGCAAAACAAGGCTGACGTGGCGGCAAAATACTCACAGGAAACAATCACTAGGAGGGAGAGAAACAAGCATGACTGGTGTGTAAGGCACAACGCATGGACGAGGGACAATAAAAGTGACACTGTATTTAAAGAGACACTAATAACAGACAATGACAAACACCTGGGGGAAGACAATAAAGATAAGGTGAGAGTAGGAGGGACAGGAGCTGAACTGCACGAGGGGAGAAACACTGGGAAAGCTGGAAACACAAGTAAAACACGATCACAGAAGACTAAATGACACAAGACAAAGAACGTGACAATTTCACCAACTCTAAATTGTACAGACTTTAAGCAAGCCCAATACTGTAAGGGTTCCACTGTGGAGACCAAAGTTTTACAGATATTAAGCTAAGATTTGGTGTGGTAGTAGCTGAGAGTCTCAAAAACACAAAGTTTGTTTTCTCAGTCATCCAGGTATATAACAACAAAAAAGGTTGAATCATGTCATCTGGACTTCGTTTTTTTGTTAAAAAGAAACGTTTCGCCCCTCATCCAAGAGGCTTCGTCAGTCTGAGGCCTAGCCATCTGGTATTACCCAGAAGCCACCCTGACTCTTGTGTTTCAAGCCTGCCTCAGATACCCCTGAAGTCTGGCCTTTTCACTAATGGTTTCAAAAACACAAAGTTTGTTTTCTCAGTCATCCAGGTGAAAAGGCCAGACTTCAGGGGTATCTGAGGCAGGCTTGAAACACAAGAGTCAGGGTGGCTTCTGGGTAATACCAGATGGCTAGGCCTCAGACTGACGAAGCCTCTTGGATGAGGGGCGAAACGTTTCTTTTTAACAAAAAAAACGAAGTCCAGATGACATGATTCAACCTTTTTTGTTGTTA